AATTTTTATCTGCAGGTATCAGTGGCCTGCATCTCTGCCTTAAGTATGCAACGCAGCTTTCTTTCCATGTTCTTTGAATTTGAAATCCTCGTCCCAGAACTCTCCTGTCCTTACAGTATCAATGTTGCTGAAGACTCCTACCCCCCCCTTTGTGACCTCACATTATCTAGGAGGCTTAAGAGAAGGGAAGCAGGACCATCTGCTGATATAGCGGTCCTAATGTGCGTATTTCTCCCTCCTGTCAGGTAATCAGAGCGGAATGAGCAGCAGCTACTACGGCAGCGGGAGCCGAGGCTCCGTGGGCATGAATGGACTGAACGGCAGCATGAGCATGGGAGCCGGGTGGGGCATGTAGGGGTGGGGGAGCACCAGGGGTGACTGAAACTTCTGCGACTGTTGCTTTTTTTTCCTCCTTTCTTTTTTGTGTTTAAGAGCACAGTAAAGTTTAGGTACAGTGGAGAGGGTTTCGGCGATTGTGTTCTGGAGTTCTTCTTCATGACCCAGAAGGGCTTCACTGCATTGATGAATAGTCATGTTCTTTATCAAGACCTTAAACCCACTGTCATGTTTATGTTTTTCTTTTTTTGTTAATTGTTAGTTGAAACCATTGGAGGAAGTTTTGTCCTTGTACCTTATGCCTGTAGGTGAACGATTGGAGTTTGTGTTGTCCTCGTAAAGTTGCACGAGTCAAACGTGCTTTGTAAATATGTTCAACACATGGCTCCCCCCCCATTTTTTACCCCCTGGGGTTAGACATTTTAACTGTTTTTGAGGCTAACGACAGTTATACTGGTGTAAACTTGGGTTTTTTATATTGTGAACGAGCATGTTTGAATTGCCTTTTTAAGAAAATAAACCAAAATGGTGTGCGGTGAACTTAATCCTTGTTTTGTGGATGAGACTAGGTTGGGTATATCAGATGCAATACAATCTGCAAAAATTCTTTTTATCATTTCTTCCTCTGTTGTAATTGAAGACCCAATCCCTCTGTCAAAATTGCATTTTATGATTTTGGTTATTGTATTATGCTGAATAAACATGTCTTGAAGATGTGTCTACTACCGTGGATGAGTGACTGATTAGAATTTTGGAGCCATTTACTGCATAAACTAAGTTGTCACTTGTTTTGTTGTGTAAATCAAATTTCAGCTAAGAAAGAGTGCTTGTATTTATTGATATGTATTTAGAGAAGTTTTCTTAGCGATGGAAGCAGTCTTTCGAGTTAATCTAATGCTGCAGCTACACTGAATAAAGGCCATAATGTGCAGTTTTGGGCATTCAGGAATATTTCTTGCCGTATTTTCGCCCCCTCTCAATTTATACTCATGGACACGTTCTTATATGCAGCCCATTTCAAGAGTCCTTCATTGTTATGGACCTGTGGATTCTGAAAAATTGCTTTGAGGGAATTGCATTCAGAGTGGATGTGGGCCATATCAAACTGCAAATGTTACCTAAAAATGGTCAGGCAAATGGTAGTGCACATGGATGTTTTTATTTTAGGTTGTACGAAATGCTGAATTGAGCGGTGGTTTGCTTGCTTTCATGAACAAGATGAGAATTGGGATGAGCATAATATAAGCATACATTGTTCAAACATTTTCAATGTCGCCCCTGCAAAAAATGTTTTTGCAATATCTAAGTGTATTTCGAGAGAAACTGCAATTGCATTTTACTTGTGAAATGTGTGGATTCGAAATCTATGGAACACCTTTTGGATGTGTATTCCAATTCTAAGAAAGTTAAAACATTGTGGAAAATGCAGATTAAATGATCGTAAACATCCATTCACCTACAATGATATCAGAGGCAGTTCTCATATTTGATGATCTGACATGAATTAAATTTCTTAGTGAAGATATACAATGCCATGACTGCAACAGAGTCCAGAAAAGTTGGCAGTCAACTGTCTTGACATTTTTTAATCTCACAGTGTTTGGGCACAGAAGACAGCAGGTGGCAAGTCTTGCACGTGGAATTTTCTCCCTTTATTAGGTCTTCTGGTACACAATTGTACTGCTGTATATTTTGCTTCATAATGTTCTGTACCATGCATTCTCAATTGGATACTGGTCAGGACTGCAGGCTGGACAATCTTGCACCCATACTTTCTGCTCATGCAGCAGTGCCCTTGTTAACCATGGACAATTTGATTTTGAATTATCTTGCTGGGATGCAGTGTTGTCACCGGAACAGAAGACGTCCGGATAGCAGCGTATGTTGCTCTAAATTTCTTTCATATTTTTATTCATTAATTGTGTCCTCACAAATGTACAGGTCTTGCACTGACGCATCTCCATACCATGACAGCCTCTAGACCTGACTTTGATATCAGCTGGGATTGTCCTTGTCACGTTTGCCCTGGCTTAGAGTCTACAAGACAAAAACTGCCAGAGGGATAGAGGGCTGCTCATAGGAATCATTTGTTCTAATGATGGTGACAGAAAGCACTGTCTAACCCATTGATCTAAAATCTCCCAAGTGAGTTCAATTGGTTTGAGATCTGGTGATAGTGAAGCGGGTGGCATGCTTAGGATCGTATTCAAACAAAACCATCTAGCGGCCCAGTGTGACTTGGGTCATTGTCATTTTTGAGGGGTACACTTCCATCGGAATAGAAATGCTTCCTCACAGTACATACACCAAAAAGCAAAAACATTCAAGCAAATTTTGTTGATTGTTTTGTAAGAAATGGCGCATGTCAAGGTCCGCGGACAGATCATCGATGATAAGCAAACAGTTAAGGTTAGTGTGCTGGTGAATACCTACTGACAGTGGTCTGAAGTAGGATAAGCCATGGACTGGTAACAGGGTGTTTGGTGCCCAGGGCTCATGATACACAAGGGTAACAAAGGTAATTCAGTCTGGTCCAAAAAGACAAGGGCCATTGGGGCATAAGTCGCAGAGAATTTCTATGAGATTTATGTGAGATATGTGTCACAGCACAGCGTGTTGCATTCCATGCTGTGTGCCGCACTTTGTAGCAGCAAACCGGTCGGAGTCCATTCTAACCCTGGTGCACACACAGAAAGCACTTGAAATGGGCATGTGAATACTGGAACTGGACCTTGGAGCAATTGAAGAAGGTCACCCTCATGGTCCATTCGTTCCGTTTTCTTTTACATCATGTGCATCAGCCTGGCATGTGTGTGCCATTTACCTGGGGAAGAGAGAGCCCCAGGATTCACTGCAGGAAAAAGGCAAGCTGGTGAAGGGCAGGCGAAGCTCTGCACTGATTGGCAGTGACCCATTCATCTTTAAAGCAATTCTTACCTTTCTGGCATGTCGCACAGCACATAGTAAAAATTTGAACATGAACAACTCCGCCTCCCTCCAAAGTCCCACCCTCTTACCCCCCGATTGCCAGACTTCTACGAAAAAAAAATATTATTTCGGTAGTTCTTCAGACTACAAATTTTATTTATACCACATATAGAATTGAATATTATTTAATTACTGTTGGTTACTTTTCACTTACCGGTAAACGTTACAACGGGCATTCGCGCCGCATTCGTAGGAGAGTGAAACGGGTTAATGGAGTTGGATTCAGAGGCACCGGTAAGTGAAAACTCTGAAACAGTAATGACATTTATTCCATTCTTCCTGCGCCGTTATAAAATAAAATGCCCGTCGTAACGTTTAATTACCTTTTGTAGTCTGACGAACTGCCATTAACGTTATTATCGTAATTACAGCATTTCAGCACCCGTTTGTTTACAGTCAAATGCGTCGGTTTTTTTTTTCTGCCAGAGAGGCGCATGACTCGCAAGCGGTGACAGCGGTAGGCAACTGGAAGGGGCGCTGCGACGGATGACAGGCAGAAAGCTCTGCAAATCATTTTATTCGGAATGAAAAAAATGATTGGTCAGACTTTTATCAGAAATATGTGAGAATTGAATATTGAAGATTTTCAACACCTGGTGGATTTCTTTTACATTTTAGTGTGCCATACGCTTATTAGGAGCATTTTATATGGAAGCCCATTTCCGCCACATTTAGGGAAAATAAGTTGGCGAACTATCTCATAATTACGAGATTTCAAGTCATAATTACAAGATTTAAAGTCATAATTTGGAGATGCAAAGTCATAATTATGAGATTTAAAGTTGAAATTTAGAGATGCAAAGTCATAATTATGAGATTTGAAGTCGAAATTTCGAGATGCAAAGTCATAATTACGAGATTTAAAGTCGAAATTTCGAGATGCAAAGTCATAATTACGAGATTTAAAGTCGAAATTTCGAGATGCAAAGTCATAATTACGAGATTTAAAGTCAAAATTTCGAGATGCAAAGTCATAATTACGAGAATTAAAGTCATAATTACGAGATTTAAAGTCATAATCATGACAAAAAAATTCATAATTTCGAGATTAAAAGTAATAAGTAAAAGTCAAAATTTCGACATCATCAATCACTTCCTCCTATCTCGGAACAAGAGCCCACTGGAGTTCCAAGGATGTTGTGGAGTTCACGCTATGCTGCTGCCTTGATCGTCATCCTAATCCAAGTAAGTAGCCTATCTTTACCCTGCCGTTTAGCGTCTACTTGGTCTAGCAAGTCAGAAACGTGACAATGTCAGAGCCCTTGGCCTAAGTCAAGTCTGTTGATCCATGAATTTTCACAGAGATTGTGTTCACCGGAGTTCATACAGTCGTTAATAAGACACGTAAGTGAAGCTAATGTTGGCCTATATGTGTGAAGACTTTGCCAAAACCGTTGCATAAGGACACCGATAGCATTTTCGATTCAAGCCTCAGTCGAGCCCCGGTTCCATGTAGCTAGCCATTTTCACCTTTACCCATCTCGATTTTTTCAAGTAGCAATGTTATCCAGAGCTACAGGCTAACCCAACTGGCTTGTTGTAGGACCTGTAAACTGTGTCAGTTGGACAACTAATTTTACGTGGTCTAGGGTTTGTTGTGTGAATCAACGGCATCACGGTGATAGAAATAATGTCTGATAAGCTGCTGAACTCAAGGAGAAATAAAAATATCAGGCGGCACGGTGGCGCAGTGGTTAGCATTGCTGCCTCACAGCAATGCTAACCACTGTTGTGGTTGTGGGTTTGAATCCGGCCTGGGGCCTTTCTGTGTGGAGTTTGCATGTTCTCCCCGTGTTCGTGTGGGTTTCCTCCGGGTACTCCGGTTTCCTCCCACAGTCCAAAGACATGCATATCAGGTTAACTGGAGACACTAAATTGCCCATTGGTATGAGTGTGAGAGTAAATGGTCTGTGAATGGTGTGTGCGCCCTGCGATGGATTGGCAAGCTGTACAGGGTGGGTCTCTGCCTTTGCCCGTAGTCAGCGGGGATAGGCTCCAGCTCCCCCCGCGACCCAAGTGAGGAATAAGCGGGTATAGAGAATGAATGAATAAAAATATCAAGGAATCTTTAGTTCCAGTTAGTTCCATATAGCCGGCTAGAAATGAGCTTCAACTGGCTAGATACTTGTTAACCAATCCACAAACGGAGTTCATTTGTTATCCGCAATTAATGACAGTTCGAAAATGGTTATGGTAGATCTAAAAGGCATATTATTGAGCCTCCTAGGATATCGTACTCAACAAATGGGGCAGGTCTACTATCAAATTTGTCTGACAGTTGTCAAATTCTAGCTAGCATTAGCTACTACCAAAGATCCGTCATTACTGCTTCTTAACTCTCTGCTGCTACCTAGCGTAGTGATGTATGTTGATTTACAGATCTAAAGTAGTAGGCTTATCTAAAGTCAGTTTAGTGTCCAGTTTAGATGCTGCTTGCCAGAGGGTAGGAACTTTTCTGCAGTCTCTCCATACTTGATTTCAGGCATCATACTTAACAAGGAGAAGAAGTCATTGTTAAGGTTATCAGGATCACTGACGGGAGTGCTCCAAGCAGATGCATAGGCAGACCTGACAATTGAGTTTTATTGATTGATGGCAGTTGACCAGCAACATGTGTGCATATGCTTTTTCCAGTAGGCGACACCAATGTCAGCTGCGTGACCAAGGGAGGAGTACCAAAGGAGAGGAAACCCACGATCGGCACAGGTAAACTAATGTGTCTGCTAAAGCCATATGCTGTAAAATACGTTGTCAACAATCAGCTTAAAAATCAGACAGCAATGTCACCAAAAATGTTGGTTTATTGAAGTAACAACTGATATTTAGCATTACATATGGCCACGCCAAGAAATCATGACCGTCTCTCAAAAACGCGGACAACGAGAGAGAGGAAATAAACGCCGTAAACTTTTTGATAGCCGGTGTCCCCACCCTCTGGCTATTCCGTCAACTCCCCTGTACGTAGTGGAAGGGAACAATGAGGATCTTCGAACTAAGTTCTGATTTGTAGTTTATTATCAGATTCACACCAGTGTGCCGGCCAGAGCACCACTTAAGGCCAATTTCCAGGGTATGAGGGAATAAAAACAGAGGGATGAGATGCTGTTTCCTCAACTCTTTACTGTTGCGATGACAGCTGGATCACAATGAGAGGTTGTGTGGATTTGTGATTGATTTTCATACAGGCACAGTCCACTGTTAAATGAATTATTGCACTGCTGCACAACCTTCGTCGATCACTCAACTAAACAAATTACTTCCGAAAGCGTGACGTCACTTATAATATCACTCCAACACATTGATTGGCTCACCATGTAGTTACCGACGCAGAATGGACTGGTTCACTAATAAACTGGACCAATTACCTAACAGCATATCATTTGTGAAGCCCTCCCAGGCAACAATACTGAACACCATCTTATAACTTTTGGGACCTTTTCTACACCCCCGCAGTGCATGGGACCTGCACATGCACTGCCGTAGTTGGCAGAGAGTAAGGCATAGGCGGACAACATGAACGCACACTGGACACATCAATCGAGAACACCAAATGAGAAATTGAGAACACCTTTGCAAACTCCAAATGACAACACACATCAAATGCCCAGGTTGTTACACTACACTGGTAGGCCTATATGTTCATTGTTCATCTTCATGATGGGGACTTTGCTACCATATTATGAAACCTAACTGTGCGATGCCACCCCTAGTGATGTGATGCTCTGGTCTGGATCTTTCATCATATATCTCGGTCACCCTGTCACAGGATGGATGACCTGTTTCAATTCCTGAGGTCACGGAATGTATCAGAGGAAAGCATACGACAACTGGAAAAGGTAGCTAACCCGTCACAGAAAAAAACATAAATTAAATTCTGAGCTTTGGGTAATGTTATTCAAAATTGCAGTGCTGATAGTATTCCGGCACCATGCCGGATCTCCAGCGTGCCGCGGCTGTGAGGCGGTAAAATTCGCACATAATCAATCAAATTAACTGTACATCCATTCACAGTCATGATTGTCCCTTATTCAAAGACTGACATTGCAAAAGAAAAGCAAAATGCTGCTTTGATATGGTGCAGTCCTTTTAATAACTTAAATAAGATTATAATTGATTTGTTCTGTATTTATTTTGTTTTAGATTGATCCCAATGTCCTACTGCTGATGACATGATCAGTTGAAGGAATATCTAGCATTTTATGGAGACCGACTGGCTGCCTTCGGATATTGCAGACGTAAGGGAAATAGTCCTGCTGCCCGCAGATCGAAACTGTTTGAGCGACTGAAAGCCAAGATATCAAAACCTGAGGGAAGGGATCGTGAACATTTGCCTGAGAAGGCACCATGTCGAAATGCTCAGAAGAGTGAGCGGAAAATTGAAATAGGGTGGTTAAATTTGCATGAAGGGCGGCTTTTACAGATGAGGACAAAAAAAGGAGGGGTACAAGAAAAGTCTGTGTGTCAAAGGATTGCAGAAAAGATGAGTTAATTGAAAAAGCAAAAGTATTGTTTTTTCCTGGTCAAAGAAATAGAGTGGGAAAAGTCACGGAGTTTGAGTTTGATTTAACAGATTTTCAGGAGCGCGCTTTAGATCACCAGACCACAGTTGGAGAATTGTATGAAAGGACAAAGCTGCCCATTTTGCGTTTTTACTTAACAACCAAGAAGAAGGGTAGTGGTAGTGAGGAGCTGGGGGAAAACAGCAGGGCAGTTTCTCAGGAGGAGGAAGAAATCCCGAACACAGCTAGGTCCAATCCCCCTACTACATCACAGGCTGAAGATCAAGAAATCACCAGAGATGTGATCCATGTAGGAAGCAGCAATGTCCACTCTGGCACCAACAGCCATAATGCAGTCTTGGATCACACCACTGTTGACTTTTCAGCTTTGGCTAGGGAGACTGACCTTGATGTAGTGATAGATGTAGATGTTTTTGAGGACAGCGGCACGGTTACCTATTACCAAGGCCACATATCTGATGTGGATGATGCCACTCTTGATGATACCTTACAAATGTATCCTCAGACAAGTTCTCCTTTTCCGATTCTATATATTGCCTGTGCGCCTATTATTCAGAACGAACGAATGAAGAAAATTCTAGTCGTTCATCGTGGGCAAATCCTGAGAGAACTAATCTCACATTTTTGTGAGGAGGGTATCATAATTGATGACGTTAAAATCCAAGTCTTCCTTCCAAATGGAAGGTTGGAAAAGGCAGTTGATGAAGGGGGCGTTTTAAGGGATGTTCTGACTGAATTTTGGCAGGACTTTTATGAGTAGTGCACATTAGGCAACACTTTCAAGATGCCTTTTTTACGCCATGATTTTGGTACACAAGAGTGGGAAAGCATTGGTGGAATCATTGCACTTGGCTGGCAAAAAGAAAAATACTTGCCAATAAAGATGGCCCTTGTCATTTTGGAGCAAGCTGTGCTGGGCCGCTTTAAAAGGAGTCTTGTAGGCAGCTTTCTGAGATACGTCACAGAAACAGAGCGCACAGTCCTTGAATCTTGCCGCTCAGATTTACGGGCTTCAATGAGGCTGTGGACGTAATTAATGTTATTATAATATGATACTAATTATTAAGGTAAGGAAGAAAAACAACAGACACATGTAAAACGAAGTTAGATTTCAACTTTATTTAAGCATTTTTCACAATACATCAAAACTCAAAGTGCACTCGCAAGGTGCGTCAGGGTCACCTTCGCAAGACTGTACAATAATCTCTGTGCCAGCAGATGTCACCCACGTGCTCAGTGAATGAAGCTTCGAGCAGTGAACCAATTTTCAATACAATGAACCAAAACGGTTGAAAGCTTCGTAAAGCCTCGTTTGGCCATCACTAGTGTCACGCGCTAATAGCCTTTGACAGATTGCACAATAGCCTAAATAGCCTTGTATGAATTTACTTGCATTTACGTTCATTTATGGACATTTGCGATTGATTCTAAACCAGGGCTATTCAACATTAGCCTTCAAGGGCCGGTGTGGGCGCAGGCTTTCATTCCAACCCAGCACTTACACACCTGATACTACTAATCAAGCTCTTTAGCAAGGACTCTTGGGGTTGATTAGTGGTGTCAGGTGAGTAAGTGCTTGGCTGGAATGAAAGTCTGCACCCACACTGGCCCTTTCTGGATAAGGTTGATTTGCCCTAAATGTTGCAATTAATTCGTAACTAATAACTCCTGTATAAAATAAATACATTAAAATGCTCAACTGAATAAAAATGAACTCATTTGTGTTAAAAGTAATGTCCAATTTACAGCAGTGAGCAGTGATGGAGTAATGAAGATAAATCAGAAACCAAAAACTATTCAATTATTTATTTCATGTAATATTGGATCATATAGATGAAAATAAGTAATCAGATAACAATATCAAGTAAAAACAAACATAATGTCTTTTCTGAGAGAAAATGTCAATGTCTAAGGTGGCCACCCTTTCCTTTGATTACAGAATTGAGTCTTTCAGGCATAGTTTTCGCATATTTTTTATTTCCCCACTCAGTAAACCATTCCATATGGTTTGACATTCATTCTAAAGAGATCCTTTCAATATTACAACAGATTTACTCAATCGAATTGTGGTCTGGACTTGGAGCAGGCCAAGTCATAACTTTTATGTCACCAGATGTTTCTTTCCAACTGAGATAATTCTTGCTCAACTTAAAAGTGTGTTTAAGGTCATTGTCTTTTTAAAATAAAATCCCCGACCAGTCTTTTTACAGAAGGCAGTACATGCTTCCAGGGGCATAGCTTA